GTTAAAGAAGAGAGACAAGGGGAGTTAGGGGTTTTATTTTGTCTGAAATTAGGTGAACCTGCAATGTCTTAAGGATCACTTCGCATCTGAAATAAGGACTCCTATTAAAAATGTAACTTATTTCTCTCTTTTATCTCATCGTCATCCCCTTCCTCTTTCTGATCGGAAGACCTCAATGTTTCTTCAAATTTTGATGTGCATCAACCAGTAAAATGTGACAGCGTACGAGAACCGTCCTCCACGAAGACTTCTCATCAGTTCTCTTAGAGTAAATGCATGTTCTTGGCATTTTCATCTCTATCTTCTTCTCCTTCTTCGTTCTTCTTATAGCAAGCCTTTAGCTCTTTTCCCTTATTCCGGTAACTAGAAGCAACGTGTCACATTCCTGAGAACGGGCCATTTTCTAAAATGGGCATTGTTCAGTCCTTTATTTTCCCTTTTTGTGTACATTATACCATCAAGGAGCATGCAGCTTTGGTGTGGGTGATTTGGCTTTATTCTTTCTGAGAGGGAGAAGGCAATGTAGTGCTCATTTGGATTTGTGTACGACAGCAGATTTATTTACTTTTATCTTCTAATCAAGTACTCCTTTTCCATGTTGTAGTACCTGAGAAGCTGCTACAGACCTGTGAGGAATTTTCCTGCCCTACGAAATCAGTCTTCAACAGGAAGTTCAGAATCGACGTGGAGTTCTTAGATTTGAACATATCCCCTGTCAATGTACAAGTTGCCCTATGCTATTTTTTTCTCCGCAAGACATGCAATGTGTCCGATTTTTTTGGATAAAGTATTTTCGTATTATTCTTGACCCATTATGAAATGTTGTCCACGATGAATTTCGTTGAGAATCCGACCGGTAAGGATGAAGTTCAGTAGATTTGAGAATTTGAGAAGATCTGTATGATTATTTTTCATACATGCTCGCCCCAATGATGTTTGCTTTAATTTCAACCCCAATATATATATATATCCTAAGAACTTCTCCCGGTGTTTAGTATTGAAATACGTTCATCAGTCGCTAATCGTCTTCTGCTGCTCCTTTCTTTCTTCTTCTTCCCTGAACCAAGGCGGGGAGCCATCTTCGATTTGGTGCTTCGAGCAGTCGACGCAGTCTCTGGCGACAGAGTCTCACATGCTGGAAGAGGGTATCCACCCGGACAGCGCCGTGAACACGGCCGGCGGCACGTTGCGCCCACACAAGGCCGTCCTGACGACAAGCTCTCCTGTCTTGAAGAGAATGTTGCTGGACGGCGACCGTGAGGAGAAGCCCGTCGTCATTTAGATCGACGACATGTCCTTGGAAGCCTGCGGGGCCCTCTTGAGCTACCTCTACGGCGTCGTCCGGCAGGAGGTCTTCTCGAAGCACCGGGTGGCGCTGATCGGGGCGGCCAAGAAGTACGACCTCGGCGAACTGAAGGAGTGCTGTGAGGAGAGCCTCCTGGAGGACCTCACCTCTGGCAACGTGCTCGAGAGGCTCCGCGAGGCATGGATTTACCAGCTCAACCTCCCTACTACCTCTGCTCTGATGCCTTCAAAGTCGGCGACTGGGAGTGGGTGAGGCAGCTGACTCTTCTCTCTCGTGGGGATCGGGATGTACCGATGAGTTTTCATTCCGGTGAATAGTTGTTGACTTCTTGCTATTTCTTTTCTGGAAAGTACCTAGACCTGTCTGTGGTGCGCAAGAAGCATCGTATGGCTGTCCCAGTAGCTGAGAGAAGGCCCCCATGCGTGTACAACGTCGGGCCAGACCGAATTCCAAACAGAACCCCTGGTGACGATCTAACTTCTGCTCCCTTCTTGTCCAGATAAATATTTCTTCTCCTCGGCAAGTTGAATAGAATGTTTAAATCCATTGAAAAAAGGGATTTAAAAATGCATTTTTAAAATCGGAGTCAAAAATATTTTATTTTTTCGCCTTTGAAAAAGGTACCTCTTCTTCTTCTTCTCCTCCTTGTCCCTCCCTCTCTCTCTCTCTCTCTCTCTCTCTCGGAAACCCCCCCTCACAAGCTACCCTCCCTCTATATCGTTCGACTTTCTCTTGGAAAGCCCAGGACTTTCGTCATATGTCGATGCGCAGCAACAAGTACAATAAAGTGTCCGTGTATGAGAACAGCATCAGCCCTGTTAGAGTAAACACATCTTCCTCGCATTTTTGTTCTTTCTTTTTCTTGTCTTTCTCGTGATTCTTATGGAGACCCCTTCGTTTTATCTCCTCATTTCGGCACCTAGAAGCAATTTGTAACAGTCTGATAATAGCTCTTTCTCTAAAACGGACATGGTTCAGTCTTTTTCTCCTTCTTTTTTGTGTAATATTATTTCACAAACTTGAGTGGTTTAGATCTCCCCACCTCCCCCCTCAACTATGATATGATTCATAGGAATCTATGATCCATATTCCACAACTCTAAATAATTGATCTGATCTAAGTTGTTCTCCTCTGTCTCTCTCCATCCATGTGCTTTGCATCTTGTTACTAAATGAAATGGGGCCATGAAAGCTTGTGATTTATTTGGCTCCACTGAAATGTGCTTTGGCATGGGTTCGATCAATCACCTTTACTTTAGTAGTTTTCCAAGTGTGGCCACCAAATTTTGTATGCTCGTAGAGGGTATTTTGAATTCAAATTTCCTTACTACTAAATTGAATAATTGCATGTGTTGGAACAAGTGAGAAGAGGATCTGCTGGGCTTTCAGGCCGGGCAGGGCCCACAGTACTGACGACCCCCTACCAGCAGCCTCGATCAGTTTGCCAAATGGTCCACAGTGGGGGTACAGGAGAGGCTCGATTGGAGACATAATGGGCCTTTATCAATCCTGCCCAATAGAGCCCATTCTGCCAGCCCACCCACCCATTTACTTCAGCCCATTTTATTAAGCCCATTTTATTCAGCCCATTTTTCATCCTATGGGGATCCTTCCCTGCCTAGTGATAACACGCTTAAATAATGCATTATATATGAGGTATATTGCATCAAATCCTATGATTTTAGGATACAGATTCATTGATTTACTAATGATTCTCATGATTATGGCACCCATTGACATTCATACATATTTTTCGTATTTCATTTGTTTCTCATTGAATTATATATTTTCAAATACTTGATGTACATCATGTGAGAATATGATGTAATTCTTTGTCTTCTAACTAGTTGAGCTTTAGATGTCAAGTATGGGTCCACAAGTCTTCAAGGGACCAAAGTCGCAATATGGCTTTTGATGAAGAATTATGGGTTTAAGAAGGCTCATAATCACATAAAGATAAGTGGGCCCAAATGAAGACTTATGGGCGTAAGGTCCATAATCACTTAATGGGTGTCAACCAAAGAGTAGAGAGGAAGATCCATGATAATATACTAAAAATACTCATTAATTACCTTAAAGTGAATATAATTTAGAATCCAATGTCTTATTTTAGTATGTTATCATTTATAAGATAGCCAAATAGTAACTTTATAATGATTCTAAGAATTTTTCCTATTTTATAATTTTTCTCATATTTCTTATGACTTTTTTTGGATTTACTTGATATATTTAAGTCATGAGAGTAATTTTAGGAAATATATATGCATTATTTCACACATTCTAGGGGCTTTTCCGCAATTTCAGACATCATCTGCAGCAATGGAGCAAGTGGGTTCCATGGGGGAGTTCTTGTATAACACCAACAATAACTCATCCTCAAGTTTCAACCCATCTAAGATCATTTACGACTGTGACCTCTCCCATTCTATTGAAGAATGAACCATGTACTACCCACATGCTTGACATCGACTAGCTCCTATGGGAGAGAGAGAGATTAAACTCTCTAACAACTCAAGCTCCACTTCCAATGCGCTCAAGCTTAGATGAAGTCACACACACACTGCATGACACTAACTCGAGTTTTCAAAACGGATGACTTTTTTACCTAAGACTCTAGCCATACCGGAAATTGTCTTTGAGCTGACGACCCTACGAGAAGCTCATCCCATGCTCCTTCAACCCATATCAAGTCTTGGACAAAATCTTACTACAGTGTACAAGCTAAACCGTACAAGCTCATCCATGGGGGAATACATTTTGTCTTCCACGTCTGGCAGCTCAAGACGGCAAAACCCTCCACAACAACGAGCCCAAAATCTCTCCTCAATATTAATGAGGTTCTCCTGCAGCCTAGAAGTCCTCATCAAATGGTTCTGTCTACCCAACTCCGAAGTCATGTGAAAGTCCGTACATATAATCCACCAACAATTCCCAGAGTTCCTCTGTTGATGCCCTCACAACTCGAGGTGACCCACATTAAAACAGGTCTCTCAAACTATTCTGCCGGAATGACAGCAACACCCTTCTAGAAGGATCTGGAAGCCTCCCACTTTACCGTGGGCAATAGGCCGTTAGAGACTAAAGCTCGAGTGCTCAACAAAAATAGATGGTAGGTCAAGACCAAAATGGTCAGCCTCTCTTGTGCAGAACATTACTATTAAAGAAACTCCTGACCGGAGGTGGAGGGGGAAAGAACATCTGGAGTCTTGGAGATCGGCCTTCTTGAAGTGGCCACCCGCTACCAATTCCCGAATGACGTCACCTGTGAGACGATCCTCCAGTTAACCCTTCCGTCTAGAGTTGTCTTGAAGTCAGTCAAAGTGCTGTCACGATGAACCAGTCCTTTGTCTTTTCCCTTCCAATCACTGAAATTTTCTCTTCTTCCTATCTTGGCCCTGGGTACCCATCAAATTTCCCATCGATGATAATTGAGAAGATGCTTTTTACCAAGAATCAAGCAAAAAAGCCTCAGATAATCCTGCTGGAGTGCTTTCCAAGCTCAGTCCTGCTCTCTCTTCTCACGCGTACAGCCCCTGTGGAGAGAAAGAGAGAGAGAGAGAGCGGCGGATCCCTCCTTCCTCCAGTATCCTGGCTTTCACGACTTGCAGGCCATCCGATCGGATCTGCCACCCAATCCTCCAGTCGGCTCCGATCATGGTCCCATCGGACCCGCAAGAAACCCGACTTATTCATGCTCATCGGAGTCTCAGATTATGAGGGAGAAAAACAAATATATGATCCCTTAAATTCCGAGGCGAAGAGGAATTTAATTCCCCCACCGTCGGTCTACGTCCACCTCCGCAAGTGCCGGCCTCCCATCGGAGCAAATTTCTTATTCTTCTTGTGCATCGACCACCTCTGCTGGCGCATCGCCGATCCCCGCCGCCTCGGCGACCGCCGCTGGAATCCCCATCGACCACCGCCACCGTCTGCAGCATGCCCCTCATTGCCCCCCTACAATGAGAATGAGGAAACAAAAGGAAATATTTCTCCACCATGGAACTTCGTCCAAAATTTTTCTAAATAAAGAAATTCCAACATTTTTTCAGACCCACAGGACTTTGAATGACAATTCAAATGAACAATGTACTTATATAAAATCATATATCATATATGAAAATCTCAGGAACGCACTGACAAACAGCTACACGCACGTCCGGTAGAAGGCGACGGCGGGGGTAGTAAAGGCCGGTAACATTAAAAGCTCTAATTTTGTTGTCGAGGGCAAACCGACCACAGCCACCTTGGAGGCACCGGCCAATGAACTCCAGACCGGCAGCCTTCAGGCCGAGGCAGCGATGCCGCTCCGCCAGGACCAGGTTGTCGGCTAGTGTGTCCACGGTAATCTCCTCCGACAGCTTGAGCTCACAAAGGCGCTTCAGCCGGTCCAGCCAGTAACGGTCGGCAGCGGCCAGGAGATGCCGGAGGAAGATCGTCGGGGTACACATCGGAATGGACATGGCGAGCTCTTGGATGTCTGGGAAGTCATCGGAGTATATGAACTGAAGCATTGCCTGCAGACAAAAATTAAAAACCGCAGACAAATATTCACATCCAGATGAAAATTTATGCCTCCTACAGGGATACCATCACCCGATCCATTCAGTGGAGCAGGAAAGAAATCTGCTATATCCTTCCAGCTGAAACGCATTACCCTTCTTATATCAAGAACAGGCCCATCATTCTCAAACTCTCCTCAGCTCCTCCCCTCCCTTTGGAGTAATGGCGTATTGAAGGAAACATTATTGAAGGATAACTGTCTTTGGGCCGAACTTCTCGGGAGGTCACCCATCCCGGTACTTCACACGCCCAAGCACTTTGGTGCCTCTCAGGCACATTCTTCGGAGATAGATGCCACTTGCGCCTCTCGACATCGTGGCAGGGGTGCCTCTTGGCACATTCTTTGGAGCTGGGGGCATCTTGGCATGGTGAGATGGATGCCACATATGCCTCTCGGCATGGTGGCAGGGGTGCCTCTCGACACGTTCTTCACAGCTGGGGGCGTCTTGGCATGGTGAGATGGATGCCACATATGCCTCTCGGCATGGTGGCAGGGGTGCCTCTCGACACGTTCTTCACAGCTGGGGGCGTCTTGGCATGGTGAGATGGATGCCACATATGCCTCTCGGCATGGTGGCAGGGGTGCCTCTCGACACGTTCTTCACAGCTGGGGGCGTCTTGGCATGGTGAGATGGATGCCACATATGCCTCTCGGCATGGTGGCAGGGGTGCCTCTCGGCACGTTCTTCGGAGCTGGGGCATCTTGGCATGGTGACGGAGGGGTTCGTAACACGTGCTGGGCAGCACAATCATGCAGCGGTGCCTTTCAACACATGCACAGCAAGCGTCTCGCAACGCATGCACACGTACCCGGGGACTTCCCAGGGAGGTCACCCATCCGGGGACTGCTCCCACCCGAGCACGCTTAACTCCGGAGTTCTTATGGGATCCGGTGGCAACTCTCCCAGTAAGGGGGGTTGTTATTGAAGGAAACTCGCTTAGCTGAAACTTTATTAAAATCGGCAAGAGGTTGAAGCAAATAAGCTAATTAATAAGATTTTCATGGTAATATGATCAGAGAATGCTGATGGAAGCTACCTTGAAAACGGGAGGTTCTATATCCTCCACATCGACTCTATCTAAATTTGGGTCACCGATCCCACTGAAGAACTGGGCACGGAACACGGGAGAGCGAGCGGCAAGAATCAACTTGTGGGTCTTAAAAGTCTCGTCGGCGACTACAAAGACAATGTCGGAACCCATCTCAGTCCTCAATAGTTCACCCAGGCTGCAACCCAAGGTTGACGGGGGAACATGAATACTCCGCTGTATGGGCGTCACCGTGCAAGTCTTGAAAACGCGGATTGCGCATTCGAAAACAAGAGAATCGTTCTGGAGAAAGTCCGAACTTTCCACTGCTTCTTTCTTGAGAAAAATTAAAAAATCCCTGCAATTGCAGCGGCAAAATTAGAAGGAACTCGTCGTGTTTGTCACTCACACCAGGAAGTGAATCCACAGACGCGGAGGGCGCACATACCAGCCCAAGCCTTTTTCCTTGGGGTTGACCGGGTCGTGGCCACCTGAAATGGTGTCCCAGTTGCACCGTACTTTGTTCCTCTGATTGATTATGACAAGGCCCAGGGACGCTTGAATGTGTGGTTCCCAGGTGATCAAGGTTATGAAGAGGGACGCGTAACCACCATTGTCCTCTGGGCCAAGGCCGTCTGGGTAGAAGTGGGCGGCCCACCGATGCTCTGCCACTGAGAAGACCCCGCTCGAAAGAAACTTCCCAACCCCCATTTTTTGGCCTCCGAGTACCCCGCCAAGACGTAACGGTAGCAGCCTAAGGCGGTGCGACTCACCGACATCGAGCACGAGACCTCCGGCTGCTTCTCCCGCCTCCGGGAACCTTCCGTCCTCGCCCACGACGTTGACGGCAACATCATCGGGTCCCCGAACACCGAGAACCGAGTACCAAACTCGTAAAGAAGACTCCGGCGACGAATTCTTGCCGGCGCGGAAGAGAAATCCGCGCAATCCGTCGGAGTCCACAGAGAAGAAGGGACTTCCCCGGCGTAAACCCTAGCTAGCCTTCACGGAGAAGGAGAGGGGCCCTTCTTGATCCGAACGGAGGCAGCGCCGCCTCTGGCTCCGGCGGGGAGACGGCGAAAATACTGTCGAAGCAAGAGGCGAGACTCGCTGGAGTGACCGCCCCGCGCTGCGAGACAGTTGTGAAAAACGTCGGACCGGCTCGGCCGAGCCAACCCTATAATAAATAACCGGTAAAAGCCCGTAGAAAATTTTATAGACAGTTACGATTTCTTGTACCCATAAACACTTTTGAAACAATGAAAATTTGAGTTGAATTATTTATAAGGCCTTTTGTTTTCCCATTGCACTGCTATGTCCCTGAAAACGTCACGCTCGTTCTTCAGTCATTCGTCTTAGAAGTACTTATATCAAATATCTATGAGGATCGACATGAACCCACTAGAACGTATAAGTTTAATTAACTATGTAGATATAGATAACTAGAAATAATCTCTCTGTCTGTCTGTCTCTCTCTCTCTCTCTCTCCGTCTCTGTCTCTGTCTGTCTCTCTCTTTCTCTCTCTCTCTCTATCTCTGTCTCTCTGTCTCTATCTCTGTCTCTCTGTCTGTCTGTCTGTCTCTCTCTCTCTCTCTCTCTCTCTCTCTCTCTCTCTCTCTCTCTCTCTCTCTCTCTCTCTCTCTCTCTCTCTCTCTCTCTCTCTCTCCTCTCTCTCTCTCTCTCTCTCTCTCTCTCTCTCTCTCCTCTCTCTCTGTCTGTCTCTCTCTTTCTCTGTCTGTCTGTCTGTCTGTCTGTCTGTCTGTCTCTCTCTCTCTCTCTATAGGCTACTACATTTTAGTGGGAGGTAATCTTCGTCCTACGGCAAAGTAAAAAAGACAGCCGTTCTAAAAGGAATGATCGACTGTAAAAATTGAATATTGTGAAATGGCACAAGGGCTAATAGTTATTGTGGGCTAAACTTTTTATGCATGATCTTTGGTTGCATGCTGAATTAGCACTCAAGTCATTCAATGACAGTAAAACTGCAATAAATATTGCCAACAACCCTAGATAATCAAAGTCAGACATTTTATTCAAGACGATCGATTTGAAAGAATTATGCCCCTCGGATACATAATCGAAGTATCAATTGACATGTGTTTCCAAGATCGTTATTACCTACATCTTTCAACTCCAACATGAACAAGTTGAATGTAGTGGACATCAACACAACTTGAGAGAGGGTGTTGATAGAGTACTTATCTAATTTAAATTCTTTTAATATTTTATTAAAATTTATAGGCATATTAAAGCCCTACCTTTCTTGAATCTAAGATGATTTAATAGGGTGGTCAAATGTAATATTCGGTGCATTTAGGTACTTATTAAATGCTTAGTTCATACTTCATTTCTCGTCTAATAGATTGATTTGACATTTGGGCATCTTAGTCCGAGTTCAAGCAAAGGAAAATTAGATAATCATGTCTCGAGAATCGGCAAAAATAAGCTATCAGCAACCGACTAAGACTACTCACAGAAGACATTTCGAAGCTGTACTGCTCTTTTCTCATGTGTACAGCTCGCGTAGAGCGAGAGAGAGAGAGAGAGAGAGAGAGAGAGAGAGAGAGAGAGAGAGAGAGAGAGAGAGAGAGAGAGCGACGGATCTCTCCTCTCCTTCATCCTTCAGCGTTTGTGCAGGGAGCGATAGAGGAAGGCCGGTGCCGGAGGCTGACCAGGGAGGATTCAAGTCAGGGACCTCGCCGGCGGCGCTACCATAGCCGCTTTCTACGACGAGTATTCCTTGGAGGAAGACTCGGCCGGACAAGGCTACCCATGGTCCCCCCAGATCTTACCCATGCAGCTTCTGCAGAAGTCGAAACGAAGCTCAGAGCACCTCCTACCCTCAAAAGTGGCATCCCATGCCGTCAAAGGTGACGGCGGGATGGTCACAGGCGGGTAAAATAAGGCTCGAGTCTTGTTATCAAGGGCTAACGGATCATACAACACACCTTCGAGGCACCGGCCAATGAACTTCAGACATGCACTCTTCAAGCCGGGGCAGCGATGCCCCTCCGCTAGGGTCAGATGAAAAATTATGCTTCCTACAGAGATATATATCACCCGATCGGAATGAATATTGCTTCCTCCGTGTCTCCCCTCCTATGTAGATTTTCATCCCACAACTGGTTCCGTGAACATACTTTTTCTCGGGACAATTATAAAATCTGTTATATGCTTCCAGCTGAACGCATGGCTGTTCTTGATATCAAGAACAGGCCCATCATTCTCAAACTCTCTTGACCGACCCAACTGCCGTCAATTTCTCAGATTCTACACAGAATGAATGAGCTCATAGAACAAAAGGGAAATCCAACAGCTCCAGTAACTTGTTTAATGACCAGCTGGAGCAGATCCTGTGCTCCTCCCCTCCGTTTCGAATAATAGAATTAACCATTTTCATAACGTTCATTGTCAGAAAACTATCTCGGGAGCGGGAGCTTCCACGGTGATCTATCTCTACACAAGTTTAAGGGTCCTCTAGAGACAAATCCATCCATTCTTTGCGTATTAAAGGTATACAGAGCTCTGAATACCATAAGCATTCAGGAACTCATGTAAAACTCGCTATTTGTGCAAATAAAATGCGCAGCGACCAAAGTTGGCAAGAGTTTGGAGCAAATAGGCCAATAGAAAATTTCATGATAATATGAGAGAATGCTGATGAAAGCTACCTTAAAACAGGAGGTTCTCTTTCCTCCATCTCGACTCAATCTAAATTCGGATCCCCGATCATACCAAAGAACTCGGCATGGAATACGGGAAAGCGAGCAGCAAGAATCAGCTTGTAGGGATTAAAAAACTTGTCAACCACCACAAAAACTATGTCGGAACCCATCTCAGTCATCAACAATTCGTCCAGACTTGGACCCAAGTCCGACGGAGGAACAGGAATACTCCACTGGCCGGGCGTCACTGTGCGAGTCCTAGAAATGGCGATCGTGAGAATCTTGACAATGCTGATCGGCCGATCTTTCCATGGTAGTATAATCAGAATCTTCCTGAAGATAGGCCGATCTTTCGAGAGCTGCTTTCTTGATAAATCTGTTCGAACCCCTGCAATTGCAGCGGCAAATTAGAAGGAACTCGTCGTGATGTAACATGGTGAAGCCCTCTGCAACGACTCACACGATGAATCAAATCCGCATAGAGACAGAGACAAAAGGGAACATGGTGATGACGACCCTCTGGCTGAGGTGTCAAAATACGGACGAGTTTGATAACAAACTGGCCTGATACAAAACTCCGGTTGCCTGGGGCTCCGGATAACTCCTGCCGGAAGGCCGAGAACGGCTGAGAAGTCGGCGAGAGAGAGGAAGAGAGGACGACAGTCGACGAGGGATACGGGGGATATAGAGAGAGAGAGAACAATAACCAAGACCACTCAGGTCTTGGGGCCGCCGATTCGAGAGGGCGAATCTCCACTCCGCACGGAGTCTTCACGAGGTTCTTCCGACCTCCGCTTACTGTGGCCGCTCGGCCCCTCTTTATAGCCGAAGCCCTCTGGCGTCGCGACCGCCTCCCGGTTCACTCCGATTGGGTCCGACGGGACCTGAGCCTTGCCGCGCTCCATCGTTGTCGGGTCTGCCAGGTTCCCCGCCGAATTCCATCCGCCGCACACGTCTCCTGCCGCAGGCTCCCACGTGCGTTTGTTCCCATAGACGTCTGACTCCTGTCAGCCTTGCCTTGTTCCTGGGCTGGGCCGACTTCTTCGGGACCTCTTTCCTATTGAGCCCATTTGGGTTGTTTGGGTCTCAACACATGGACATGAGGAGAAACCGGCGTAGAACACACACCAGAAGCTAAAACGTTGTTTCAACCATACGCTAGAAAAATCAGATGAAAACAGGAAAGTGGTCGGAAATGAAGGGCCAACAGAGTCGACAGAATGTTCGTAATGTAGAAATAAAGATCGTCCAAGTCATCGAGCAGCTTTGTCTCACAACGAGGTGAAGGACATCACGCTGAGGCACACATATTACATGTGCTTGTATCCCCATAGGCGGAGTGGTCCGTCAGGCCGCTTGCCACCAAAACGGCTTTTCACTATGTGCTCTCCTTTGCCGCTCTGATCCACCAAAATAAGTTCAAAGGGGCTCTCACTTATGGATCATTGGTGATCTTGTTAACGAAAACGGACACGTAATCGTCATCCTCCCGGTTCTTGCCTTCCGGGTAGAAGTAGATAACCCACAGATATCTCCCCACCAAGAAGATCTCGCTCGCAAGGAACTTCCCGATCCCCATTCCTTTCGCCATGGAGTACCCCACCACAACGTAACGGTAAGATTCTTTCACGGCGCGGCCAAACAATGTCGACCACGAGACCTCCGGCTGCTCCTCCCGCCTCCGGGAACCTTCCGCCGCCTCCCACGACGTTAACGGCAGCATCATCGGGCTTACGATCCCCGAAGACCAAACTCGTAAAAAAGGCTCCGACGACGAATTCTTGCAGACTTGGATGAGAAATCCGAGTAATCTACCGCGGGGATCTTCTTAATCCGAATGTAGGCGGCGGCGCCTATGATTCCGGCGGGGAGACGGCGAATTTCGGACCGGCTCGGTCCAGCCAACCCCGTAAAGGTAACCAATAGTTAAAAAACCCTAAAGAATGTTTATATAAAATAACCGTTTAAAATAGAATCACGCTTAAAATTGATGAAAAATTGGGCTGAATTATTTGTAACCCCTTGTCTTTTCCAGTTGCACTACTTGGTCCCTGAAAACAACATATACTCTTGCTTCTCAATCATTCGTCCTAATCAAGTGCTTTTACAAAATATTTTCTGTAATTATGTATATCGAAATTATTACAGGTACCCCTCTCTCTGTCTGTCTGTCCGTCTCTCTCTCTCTCTCTCTCTCTCTCTCTTCTCTTTCTCTATCCTGCAGAGTTCACCAAACAAGTTTGTGCCACCGCCCTCAACATCCCCATCAAGATGGAGACCCTTTCTCCTAAGTAATGAACTCTCTTGTACTCCGAGAGAGGGAGAGGTGACAAGGGTGGATGATTTTTTCCTCGGTCTCAATAAGTTGGGCTTCTGTAGCCTAATCCTAGCACAGAGAGAGGGAGAGAGAAGAGGTAGAAATCGTTGATTCTTCCCTAGTTAGGACAAACAGCAAGGTTCATTTCCTCCCCACTGAGAGCACGACCAGTTTCTGTAGCTTAATCAGAAGGAAGATAGAGTGATATATATATAGATATATACAATATCTACAGAGAGAGAGGAGAGAGGAGAGATCTGTCTCTAATGCCAGAGGGATCCCCTCTCTCTCTGCAGCTGATATTAAAAGGAACTCTACACTGATGAAGGTCAGAGACGACAACAGGCATAAACTATGCCCGTACTTGATAATAAAGGAAGCAGTGTCTGGACAAGCAAGAGGATCGGTGGAACATCACGTCGTCTCTGTGGAGGACCATGTTATGTGCTCGTGCCAGCGGGGCGGCGATCAAGAGTTCTCTACTCAGAAGCATACATAAACTATGCCTGTACTACCGTCGACATGGCCAATGGCTTCGTTTTCCACTTTAGGAAACATTGACGAGCTCAAAACCACAAGAGATACAGTCACACTTTTAGTAGGTGATGTCTTTATTATCATGAGTTAATAACTAATAAATAATATAATTTTTAGCATTAACTCATGATAAATAGACTTATATTTATGTTAAACTGTGAAAAATAGTTTTCAATTGATTAATGTGAATTTTTGGCTAATTATGTGATTTTATACGAATTTCTATGATTTTTATAGTCTTATTTTTTAGATAAATAAAGAAAAAAATTTAAATAAAAAAATATATAAAAAAAGAGGGACATGCTGGTCAATCAGGCCCATAGGCAAGTCGGAAGTGCAGTCAGGGGGAGCCGCGAGTAGGGGCTCGAGAGGCTATGGATTGATGGGGGCATGTGTGTGTCACTCCCCTTCCACATCACCAGTGGCCAATTGACTGTAGGGTAAAGAGTGGTCGTACAAGTGAGAAAATGACTCGTTGCTTCTAAAATTGATATTACTATATATTCGTCCAAAACTTTAGCGTACAACCAATGTGGGACTAAACCAGCGTCACACCTTCTTCGGAATGGTTTTGTTTATTTTAATACATAAAAGACTCCTTAGTTATAATAGAGATATACCATGATAATGTCAGTTTATAAGAGTATTAGAGTACTTATTTCAATCTTTCTCATGTAGGGGGGTGATTGACATGGGTTTGAATCTTACTAGAGCCAAAACTTATATTTTTATCTAATTAAATCGTGACTTTCCTACAGATCGCCAGTGAAGAATTAAGCCGCCATAATCGCTTGATCATAGTCATAAAAAGATCATAAATCCATCAAGTAAAACATCTCTGATTGATTGACGAACAAGCCATCGTCAAGAAGAAGACGATCCACTAAGAGATGAGTCACCACCTCTTGAGAGCGTATTAGATGCGATGAAGAGCCTCTTCTTGCTGTGCGGACTTGAGGATGAAGCTCTTTGACACGTGCCCTACCTTTTGTCCAACTCTTCTTTGTCAGGTGACAGCTACTGGAGAGCCGCAAAGTCATTATTTTTCCGCTCCACTGAGTGACAGTTGTTAGAGATGATTTAATAACCTATTTCACCGATCTCTAGACTTTGCAAGAATATCTAAAAATTGTCTACGTCGTCCTTGTTAAAGGAGAGTCTTTAAGGTTGTGGACATTATGACACAATCCTTCCAAATACTTAAGATTCTTGTACATCCCCAACACATCGCCATCGCAACACTAGAACTCTGTTTTGCTGCTTTCAACTTAATTTTCACTTCATTTAATGATAAGTTGTATGATTTAAATCTACCAAATTATTTTCATTCAATTAAGATTCTTTTGGCTTTTATAGATCTTAATTTGATCAACTAAATTATTTGTAATCACTTATGTAAAAATCACTGGGCAGAACTCTATTTCTGTCTAATTTACTTTCTTCAGGTGCTGATGTCATCTTGACTCTTGCACCCTTATTTCTCTTTTTCGTGAATTTTAAATATATTTTATTTTTAATTTTTAATGAAAAAATTATAAAAAATCATATTATTTGAGAAAAATTCTGAAACATTACCTGATATTATATTACATCTATGTGATTGACCTAAAAAATTCTCACTATTTTTGAAACTTTATTAAATTATAATTGATATATTTGTTTAAGAATACTTCTAAATATTTGAAAATTAATATTTTCTAGTTTTATAAATTTTAAATTTATCTGATTTACTATACAACGACTAAGTCACATTAGTAGGGCACTGTTACTCAAAAACCTTGTCAATCTAGAGAGAGAGTTAGACACACTCAGTGGTGATCTCTCTCTCTCTCTCTCTCCCCCATTTTCTGGGCTTTTTGCCAAAACTTGTTGACATCGGCTGAGGTAGGGAGGGCTTGGCGAGAACAGGGTCAGATCCAACCTGGTGATGCCCTTGTGACTGAGATTCTCCTCCTGAAGAACTATACAAGTTAGAGTGTTTGATAAACAATGCGTATTGTGTTTGATGGAAGCTTTAGGTTCCACTCAAGAAGATTGATCTCATAAGTCGGTCAGTCGTAATCAGCTATGTCGTTTATGTGATATTCGATGAATTCACGTACTCATTACATGATTAGTCTTACTTAATTCATTTCTCACGTGATAGATTGATTGACATTTGGACTCTCTTTGTCCCAGGCCCTAACCCCCTCTCTAGTGGACTGCAATTTCCCCTGGATGACAATCGAGAAGATGCTTATTTGCGCAAAATCAGGCAATGGAAAATTAGAAAATGTCGTCGCTCGAATCGTCCAAAACAACCAATCATCGACAGACTAGGACTACCTGCAGGAGACTTTTTTAAGCTCAGCTCTGCATTCTCTCTTCTCACGTGTACAGCTCGGCAGAGAGAGAGTGAGTGGTGGGTCTCTCCTTCCTTCAGAGTCTACACAAGGGGCGATGGAGGAAGGCTGGTGCCGGAGGCTGACCGGGGGGAGTCGAGTCGGGGACCTCGCTGGCGGCTCTGCCACAGCCACCTTCTACGATGAGTATTCCTTGGAGAAAGACTCAGCCGGGCAAGGCTACCCATGGCCCCCTAAGATCTTACTGGTGCAGCTTCTGCAGGAGAGAATTCCGATCGGTGCAAACTCTCGGCGGCCACGTGATATACCGAAGAGACCAAGCCAGGCTGAAGCTGTCCTCCACTACCCAGATTGAGATCGGCCTCCGCCAGATTCCTTGCCCCTCTGGTGTTTCAGTGGGGACATCTAGATGACCCTCTTCTCCTTCTTTTAGGGTTTCAGGGGCTTCCACCATTGAGAGACCTAAAGAGCAGATCCTTTTCTCCTTCCTGCCTTTCACATTTCTTCAACGAAAACCCGGATGAATCTTCACTTCAGATTCCAATGGGCGAAGTTGATCTAAAGGAGAAGGCGCCAGGTTGAGAGGAGGAAACACGACTTGACTGTTCCTCTCGCTCTCCGATTCTCTGTGGCTAGCGAGAGTCTTCTCCAATCTCAGACAGTTGGAGGTATCTCTATTCCCGCTGAGGAAATAGATCTTGAGCTTAGGTTTGGAGGATCCGCCTTCGGCTGACCGTGGCCCCGTAGCTTTGTTATTCAGTCTGTACTCCCTCTCTCTCTCTCTCTCTCTCTCTCTCTCTCTCTCTCTCTCTCTTTCTCTCTCTCTGTTTCCGTGGAAGCCTTCGTGATTTCATGACAACATTTTCATTGACTTTCTTCAGCTGGAGGCCTGAACTCACACATATGGTTGTTTCCTTGTTTTGCTGCGATGATTGAAGGCCGTTAGCTGTCGATATGATCGGACCTAAGATGATCTTCTTCCCTCAGTCCTCTTCCGGTGGCTCGTCTGAAGCTTGTGAGGGATTCTGACCGAGATACTTGATCATTTCTGCGTTAAATTCACTGCTCGATGTTACTATCGGCATTCAGGGAGCCGGGAGTTCGACTGCGATAGGGTCCATACGCGGCTAGATTCGTCATCAGCCCACGTTGAGTAGTTTAATGTGGTGGGGGTAGAGAGCATGTGTGTTTTATGTGAAGATTGAGAATGGGAGAGTAGCCTAGAGGGTCACTGTCGGAGGCGGAGAGAGAGATATAAGAGGCAGATGTATGTATGCAGATTGAGGGGGTAGAGAGAGAGAGAGGATTTTATGTGGAGATTGAGAATGGAAGAGTAGTTCAGAGCGTCACTGTGGGAGACGGAGAGAGAGATATGAGAGAGAGAGAGGGACAAAGAGACTCAGATCGTTACCTAGATGAAGAGGGAGTGAGATAGCTATAGATGGACGTGGCGAGAGAAGTCTAGAGGGAAAGGGGGATCTTGTAAAGAGACAGTGTGGAGAGCGATATATGTAGAGTAAGAGAGTC